ATACAATTCATTAAGGATGGCCTGAGTAAGGAGTCTTTAGATAATCTTCTATTAAGTCTTGAGACGCATCCTAGTGGAGATGTGCATCGTGCAATTCATGATTTATGACCCCATTTTCATAAAGAACATGATCGACTTAGTCTTGGGAATCTGACTAAAAAAGACCCTGTTTGCCAGTTTTTAAAAAAAACTGGATGGGAAGCTTATCCCCGACCCATAGAGAGTGTTTAAGTCGTTATTGGACGTAAAACCAAGGGAAAGCTGTGAGCCACAATCACAACTGCTTGTACATATATATTTTTTATATATATAATAATAATAATAAATAAATAAATAAATAAATAAATAAGAAAGAGAGAGAGTGTGAGACTACAGCTAGCCTACATATAAGTGGTATGATTGCATTTTTAATTTCTCATCTATAAAATCTTCTCTTCCTTCCCATCATTTCAACTTAACCAATTCATTCAACATATAAGAAGTGTGTAGAAATGGATTTGTGTCCTTTGTGGATCTAGTCCTGGGAAAGAAAAAGAGTTTTTAGAATCAGTAAATCATCTTGGTCAGGTATTAGCTGAGAAAAAGATTCATTTAGTGTATGGGGGAGGCAACCTTGGGTTAATGGGGGGTGTTTCAATAGCTGCATTTGTAGGAGGCATTCAAGTTTTGGGGGTTGTCCCCAAAGCTTTAGCCGAAGGGGACATCATTGGACAAACAATTGGAGAGAAATTACAGGTCTCCACTGATTAGTACTTAAAAGTACATTTTTATCATGGTTTTATATCATTATTTTGCACTTGAAGTATCAATAACTCCTTAACTAAAACATGTTTTATAATAATATATCTAATAATATAAGATACCTTTAATTTATGGTAAATGTTCATTTTAAAAGCAGGCCTATCACATAAACGAAAGGATTGATTGATGACTTTAAGAACTTAAATTGCAAGGGCAAAAAGATGACCAAAATTAGAAAAGAGATGTTGGTGCAATCCAAACTAGAACACTGTTCGGTAATTGGGTCATATCTGAAGCTATAGATCTCAGATTTAGGTGTACTTTATATGGATGGAAAGGTAAGACATAAACCTACAACTTTCATATGGAGCCCAAGATCTAAAAAGGCCATTTTCAAGTCCAAATTATTTCAATTAGTTCTCATGGCTTTAATAAACTGGTTATTAAAGCCAAAATACATGCTAAAACATATGTTTTTTAAGTTTTCTTTGTATGAAAATACAATATGATTTTTTTAAGAGACTTGGTCGTATGTATGAAAATAAAAACACATTTTTTATTTTTTATTTTTCTGCAATATTTTGAAGAAAATTGGATATTTTAATATCGAATTTGTATCTTTATAATATAAAAACACAAACCAATATTAATAAAAAATCAACAAAAAAATCATAAATTTTTGAAATGATTTTTTTGGCTGGGTCAGCGTTGCCCGGCCTATTAAATAGAAAAGGATCTCTATACTGTTTGCAATGTGAATAGTAGAGAGTGAATTAATTCACTCTCCACTATTCACACAGAATACTGGAGAACGAAGACGATGAAGAAGAAGAAGAAAAATGAGAGGGAAGCTGACCTACGGTGACTGCTGTGGTGGCTCATGGTGTTGGTGGCGGTGGCAAACTAAGGTGGCTGCTATTGGTTTCTGCTTTTTTCGTCTCCCTGTTACTTTTTGTTATCTCTACTCCTTCCTTCTACTTTTTTGTTCTTCTCTTTTATTCTCTCGTGGTGGTTGACATGACTAAAAGATTGTTGTCTTCTCCCAAGTGAAGGAGTGTTGAAGTAATAAATAATCCGGCAAGACCGGGGTCGAACCACAGGGAGGTTAATTGTACAAATTATAAACAACAACAATAGTAACAATAAATATAATAACAGTAGCACTAATAATACTAATAATACTAGTAGTAGTAGTAGTAGTAATAGTACTAATAACAATAATAATAATAATAATAATAATAATAGCAACAATAATAATAATAACAATAATAAAGAAAAAGAAGAAAAGTTGATGAGAACTTTGAGATGAAAAATTAACGTAAGGATTAAACAATGATAACAAACAATGTCAAGGTTAGAGGATCCACTAATGGTATGTCAAACAAGTATAGTATAAACTCTTATTATTCAATTGGAAACCACACACAAAAGAGATTCCAATCAGATTATAGACTTTATGCCATATTAATGAAAGCAAAGCATAAACATTACAAAAAATACAAAGAGAGAAAGGAAGAGCATGGTTAAGATCTTGATCTGGAAACCTCGTCAAGCATTCATGATTATAACTTATGTTAACAACAAATCAAGTTTCTTTCATAGCTCAGGTGTCGGTTATACCATACATTATGGGCTATGAAAGTGCCAAGCATTTGTTGTACCAAGTGTTATACAACATAAATCAAGATTAGTCATTTAACAAGCAAAGTATTAAAGAGTGAACAAGATAACAAAGATAAAACATGTTAGTATCAAACATTAAAGTCCATATTAAGTTTATACTATACTTATTCTTACACCATTAGTGTAGTCTTTTCACCTTGACATAATAAACTTAGCTAGACATAATGAAACAAATAAAAATAGATAAACAAAATAAGAACATAAATAAGATAAAAGTTAACTAAGTAAAGGAAAGGAAATGAAAGGCATAAACTTGATATTAATGAAAGCAAAGCATAAACATTACAAAAAATACAAAGAGAGAAAGCAAGAGCATGATCTTGATCTGGACACCAAGATGCCTAAATGCATGGCAAATGCCTCCTTTTATAGGCCAAAATTAGGAACTATTGATTTGATGACTAATTGATAAGTGGGTGACCAACTCTTGACTTGGTGACAATCCTTATCTTCTCTTGTCTACCCAAAACGTCATTGATAACGTCAAAATTGGAGCCACTTGAAAACATAAAAGTTGTAGGAAATTATCTCAGCTTTCTTGTGTAAACAATTCAGCTCATTTTGACTTCTAGAACTCCAGATATGGCCAAAATACTGAATAGTGCTCGGGCTGGAGGACAGATTCGGGCTTCTTTGTTGTTGCTACAATTTGGACTTGAAAATAGCCTTTTTAGATCTTGGGATCCGTATGAAAGTTGTAGGCCTATGTCTTACCTTTCCATCCATATAAAGTAGACCTAAATATGAGATCTATAGCTCTAGATATGACCCAATTACCGAACAGTGTTCCGGTTTGGATTGCACCAACATCTCTTTTCTAAGTTTGGCCATCTCTTTATCCTTTCAATTTCAGTTCTTAAATTCATAAATCAATCATTTCATTTATGTGATAGGCCTGCATTTAAAATGAACATTTACCACAAATTAAAGGTATCTTATATTATGAGATATATTATTATAAAACATGTTTTAGTTAAGGAGTTATTGATACTTCAAGCGCAAAATGATGATATAAAACCTTGATAAAAATACACTTTTAAGTATCAATTAGTGGTGGTGCTGTTGTAGTGGCGATTGGGAACTGAGGGTGATCGATGGTTCTTTTTTCTGTGTTTTCCTTACCCTCTGTTTTTGCCCTCCCTCTTGTTCTTTCTCCTTTTTTCTATTTTTTTTTTTATTTCTCCTTTATTTCTACTAGTGGTGGAGCTACTGTCGATAGTGGCTCAAGGCGGTTCTCATGGTGACGATGAGGAAGGTAGGCAGTAGCTGTTCTTCTCTCTTTTGCTCTATTTTCTCTATTTTCTCATCTCCATATCTCAAAACAATTTGTCTCTATTTTTTCATCCTTTGCCTCTTTTCTTTCTCTCTATTTCTGCCCTCCTAAGCTCCTCTCTCTCTATTAGGGGGGAAAATAGAGCTACTTCCCATGTCCAATCACGGTATAAGGGTAGAAGGGTGATTGGGCAACCATTGGGAAGCTACTTCAAGGCTTATCCCCTCTAAATTTTTGTTTAAAGGTAGGTAAGGGATGTGAGTTTTGTCAGGGTTTAGGCAAGTGGGGAGAAAGAAAGAAAGCATGAAAAATATAGGAGAGCAAAACTTCTATTTCCCATGCTTCTATGTATGCAAGGGAAGAAAGAGAATAATGTCATTCAAAACAACACTGTTTTAGTTTTTTTTTTTTTTTTGAAACAACCCAAAAATTGGTTATCATAACTATATGTTGAGCTTTCTTAATCAAATCTAAGTTGGCCCTCAACCTGTTATTATTTTTTCTATAAGTGTAACACCCTGTAATTAGGACAATTTATTTCAACAGGAATAACAATTTTAGTCCTATATATTAGGAGAAAAGGTATCTTTCCCGTTGAGATTTTTTAAGTGGTTTTGTATGTCGATAAAATCTCATTAAGCAATTCATTCCACTCTCTTTTATATCTTTTTCTTTAAACCATTCAATAATAGTTTATTTGCTAGCTTAACTGTCTCTATTTTTTTTTTTGTGAAACTAAGGAGAACCTATGCTTGATATTAAACCTCTAACACTATTTTCATATCTTTTTATTGTCAAATTAGGTGTCGTTATCCATAATTAACACATGGGAAAACCTGAATCTATAAATGATATTTTTCATATAAAAAAGATAACTCTATAAGTGGTTATGTCTGTTAAGGCCTTTGCTTTCATCTATTTCATAAAATATCTCATAACAACTAAGATGAATTGTTTTTTTCCAGATGCCATAGGGAATGAACATTGTATATCAATTCCTTACTAAGAGAAAGGCCAAAGAGACACAATGGTTGTTAACTTGGTTAATGGTTGAAGAGGAATCGATGTAAATATTTGATATTTATCATATTTCTTAGTGTTGATTATTGCATTGATATCATGGAGAAGGGGTCTTTCTAACATAACATTACATGCTAGGTACATTTTGATCATCATGAATATATATATATATATATATATATAAACAGATATAAAGAAAACTTCTTCTTCAAAGAACAAGAGATAAATATTCAAATATAAAATAAATTATATATATATATATATATATGGAAGTATACAATAGTTGAGGTGCATGCTGATAGTCACAGGAAGGTCTAAGGCACCCTTCATTAGCATTTTTTTCCTCCTTAATCTCTCTTAGATGATTCTTTACTAGAATCAACTTAAAGGTATCCATGCTCATTTATATCAAGGCATCCTTTAGAATGATATTCATAGCACTTCCATCATCAACAAAAACTTTATGCATATTATAGTTAATGTAGGACAATAGAGATAACTAAGTATCTTCATGAGAAAATATCATTTCTTCCTCATTCTCACGAGTAAACAAGTATTTGCTTCCTATAGGCCTTTTTCTTTCCATTGGAATCTCTGTCAGTTGAGACTCCTCACAACATCATATTTATTTTTTAGAGAGAAACTTGAAAGTATCTGCTTTTTCTCCTAGTTTCTCATGGTGCTTTAGTTCTGTTTTCATAAATTATTGGAGATAATCTTTAGCTATAAGCCTCTTTATTTCCTTTATAAAGCATAGCATTTTATTGGAACTAATTATATATAATTTTCTTTATATTAAGAAGACATTTGTAAGGTAGAACATATCATTGCTCCTAAAAAGATTAATTACATACACCACTAATAAGTGTTTTTATCATTATGGATTCTAGCAAGTTTTTCATTTTTGACATCTTCTTATCAAATATTTTTAAGCCATGGTGCTCTCTCTTTCTTATTAAGTAATGTTAAAAAGTTTTGTGGAGTTTTTCCTTCTAAGTATATTGGTGTTAAAGTGAGCAATTAGTTTATGACACATGTCAACAAAGTTAATTATAGAGAATGACTCTATACTGTGACCTCAGAACTTGGAATGGCCCATAAAACTCAGAACTTGGAATGGCCCATAAAAAATGATGGGGAGAATTTTACATATGATGTTAGTATCTTGAATCACCAATTCAAGATTGTTTCTAATATTTTGAATGTACTTTTTAGAATTAAATAGATTATTATAGTTGTTCAAATTCATCTTTATAACTATAAAATCTTTAACGAGATGTTTTTTAAACATGTTTTAACAAAATCAATAGTCTCCTATATTATATGTGACATTTCTATTTTTGCCTTCATCCATGCCTTATTTTTTTTCGCTTTGGACTATTAGGATGAGATTTTAATAACTAATAAGTTTATTTGTATTATGCTTACTTTTCTCCACTTTATTTTGCTTATTTTCCTCAATGAAATAAAGTTTTTTATGGGAAAAAGGTGCTGAAGGAGTAGGTTGTTGAAAAGTTAGTAATCGATGAATAGAAAAAGTTGTTGGAAGTTGATTGGGGTTGAAGAAGATAATGGAAGGTCTATTCTCTTCTACTATGTTATCAACCATGAAAAATATTAAGTGATAAAAGGAATGGGAAAAAGTTTGGATAAAAATCCAACTATGTTTTTTTTCAAGATTTCTATACACGATGCTACTGATAAAATTAGTGAAAATTTTTAATAAATCTATTTAGGCTTTTTCATTGCAAACAACGAGTTGTGCTATGTTAGTTTGGGGTCACCCAAATTACTTTTTTAACTATATGTTGTTTAAAAGATAACATGTAAATATTATTTAAAAGATGAAAAAGATGATTTTTTTATTTGTACGTGGTTCTCCTTATCTCTCATTGGCTATTAGGTTTTATAGAAACTTGTTCCACAACTTACCTTTCCCAAGATAAAGGTCTGACTTAGAGTAGCAAGGTTATTTCATAGCTCACCCAGCAAGGTGGCTGCACTGAAAATGTCCTTACTTGTAGAATAAAAGAGTAAACTTCATTGGCTTAGAAAATAGTGCTTTATTGGTTGTTTTGTTCTTTTAATAAAAAGTAAGGGTTTAAATATTTTATTTATTTAATTGTATTATAAAATTTATTATGTGGAGCGCATACTCAAATAAAATAATATAGAAAAATAGGTAAGAGAAAAATATGTTTAAAAAAACAAGACACTTCTTCCTGCACTCGTCTAGGTTATATCCAGGCGACCTCAGCCTTTCAGCCCAAGATTTTTTTTTTATTTTCATGTATAGTACCAGGACCAAACTTTCAAGGAATCGCCATCAAACTTCAACCTCTGTATCATTCTCCTTTTCCATGTTAGAATTCATAGTATTTAATGATCAGTCTCAAATTTACACTTTGCATTCATGTTGATTATTGCATAAACAAAGGAAAAATGTTTCGGGGAACCAAATCGATCCAAACAGCTAGCATATAAGCACAGTACATTTTATTAAAATTCAAGATATATCATACGAATAGCGAGGGAAAATTAGATGGATGGATGAAGAAAATCATTGTAGAAATACAGGAGTATTTTCTTTCAATATCATCTGCTCATGCCCCCACCAACAACTGGAGGAGCAACTGTAATTCCCCTGCTTTGTCTATCCATGTTAGCCTGCCAACCTTCAAATTAAACACAGTCAAATGAGTACAATGGTATCAGCTAATAGGATTAATGTTAGTTCTTAAGTATTGTAAGAGAGGTAATTCGTACTTACCAATCCCCATATCAAAACCACGATTCCTGAGCTCTCTATACTCCTGACAAAGTGCACAAGGCTCACAGAAGAAGTGAACCAAGCAATCTACACAAGGAGCCTCTTCCAAGTCATATTGTCCTCTCAATCTTGACCGATAGAAGCACGAGTACAAGCATGACAAACCTGTAAAACCCAGCAGCAGACCATAAACTGCACCACTTGCTGCACAAGCTGCATGAAAAGGCCAAAAAACAAATATTCTGTCACTTAAAAGGCAGCATTTTAACATGAGAAATTAACTAAATATACACAGGTTTGCGTTGGATGGGGACTTACATATTGAACCCTTATTGACTACCTCAGCAATTTGTCCAAAGGTAACACATGGACACGTGCAAGTAACGAGACAATTTGCCGGGTCATCGCAACAATGGCAAAGACCAGTAGACCACCGTGTTGCGGTGGCGGTGGCTGAGGAGATACATGGAGGGTAAGGTTGTCTAGTAGAGATGTTCATTGGATACCCTTGGGGTGCATATTTTGGGTTGTCTTGATATATTGGAGGATGCATTTCTTCAAGTTGCTGTTGGCTCCAGTTATGTGAAGAGAGAACTAAGAATAAGAAACCTTATAGTTCTAAAAAAGAAGTCATTTTTTTTTCTGATAGCTTAGGATAGTTTTATCACTCCTAGACATTACTTAAAGTTCCAAGATTAATTGCTGTCAATCTTTGACCAGATTTGGGTAGCCCAATCAAAGCAATTCCTAGTTGGATTACAATTTTTCTTTCCTTTTCTTCATGTCACACAAAGCTCATTTAATTACGCTCCAAATCTCAAAACAAGTTCATATAATTTCTCCTCTAAGGAAACTGAAAAAAATCATGGCTTTCGGAAGAAAATCTGAAAGTTGGCTTGTGGTCGTGGGCTGTCGAGGCTGCTGGAATCTTTAGTAATTAGCTAACATCAGAACGATTGGTGGTGGGGGGTCATTATAAACTTCAAATTACTAACATTATAGGCTTCTTCTTTTTTATGGTACAGAGGAAACATGTTAATTAAAGATAATTAGCATTTATAACAATTATCTAAAAAAAAACAATAATTTTTTTACCATAAATTCATAGCTGGTGCCTGGTGGAGGTGGAAATTAAAGAGTGAGTGTATCTTTTATCGATGCACGTACATTTCTCTCTTGCGAAGAATCTTTCAAGAAGGAGGACCAACTTGTTTTTAGTTTAGTTTCTGAAGACTCTCCTCTATCCAAGCAACCAAAGTCGCAACTTTCAAGTTTCATGATATCTTCGAAAGAAGAGAGAGAAGGGGAGAGAAAGAGGGGCAGCACTTGGCTTCATAGGGAAGCGGCATTGGCGGCCTACACAAATCATCACAGCTTACATGCTCGGCTTAAATCTGATTTAAAAAAAAAAAATCAAATTAAGGTCATCATACTTGGATTTCACCTTTCTCAATTCCTTTCGTTTCTCCTTGCCATTTATTTTTTCCTTATTGAGTAATACACTTATACTCATTTATTTTACTTCTATTACATTCCATAAGACAAAGACATAATATTGACAATTGATTAATTATGATAAAAGAGCAAAAATTATTATCGAGTCTTCTGTTGGATAACTCAAAATTAATATAAAGGGGACATGTATTTTACTCCATTATTGGCTATGATAGTTTTGAGAAATGTTATTAAACATGATTTAGTTTGATTTAGAATTTATCAATCTAGAACTTAATTTAAATTAGTTTTTTTAATCATTTTAAATATTTATCAAATCAAACCTGATGACTTAGTAGGTCAACATACGCCATTTAATTAAACTTGAGTGAGACCTAACCAAGTTAATTTTAAGGATTTAATATTTATTTTTTATCCAAATAATGTTTCGTTAGTGTTTTCTTAAACAATATTATTTTATTTTAAGAAAATCATTATGTGTGTGTATTGAGTTTTCATAATGGCTTTATTTTTCTATAAACAAATTTAAAAAAAAAAACCATGTCTTCAAATATGACAAGGAAAGAGAAACAGAAAAGAACGGGGAAGAACAAGCATCATTTTGAAGAAGAAGAAGAAATGGCTGAGAAGGTAGGGCTGCTTTTTGTCCAACTCCACAACATTTATGTGCTTGTTATTAAAAGTGCATGTCGTTTTCTTTTCTCTCTTATTTTTCTATTAATTAGAATGAGGGCAGAGGGCAAAGGCCATGGAAGAACAAGATGACATTCTCCGACGTCTTTAATTATTTTATGGTAATGCATGCCAATGTGAGCGTGCAACTTCGCTGATGTCAATTATTGTATGCTTATGCACGAGTGTTATGCCTCATTTTACTTTATATCTGGAAGTATTTCTTCCGTATGAATTTTGGAGCTAAAATTTAAAATATATTATTTTGTAAATAGAGTCAGCAACAAATCTCGACTGACTGAGACCTTTAATTGACTATTTATTATATTATATAGAAGTTTATTAAAATTATCATGATTTTATTCTTTCCGGTCAATAAAAAATTATTCGATACTCCACCTAGCTTCTTTTTTTAAAAAAAACCCATATCAATGTGCCTTCTTTGAATCTAGATTCTTCAACATTTCTCGTTCATCACATGTATCAAAATGAGCCTTCCTTTGCATTTTGCACACTATATTATACTATTAGTTAACGATCATCGGTCTGACCAGGTAGAGAACATGTATTTCACTACGAGAATAAAGTTGTGAGCTTGAGTTCTAAGAACCATGAAAATTAAGAAAAGATGCAACCAAAACTAAAGAAATGGAAAGGAAAGAATATATTCGGTGCTCCACTACAACACATTCGATCATAATTATCTCCTTTTTTTTTTTTGGTGAAGCAATTATCTCCTTTTATGTGCTCGTAATTCTCAAGCAGAACGGCTAGCCACAATATAGTGCCATAGCAAACAGTACTCCATATTCCAAAAACAACATGGCCATAATGTGTTGTTTTCAGGTGAATCCCAACCGTGAAATGACGGTGGAAGATTTCAAAGCCTGGCTTCGTCAGTTTGAAATGGACAACGATGGACGTGTTAGCCATGAAGAGCTAAAAGAGGCTATTCAAAGCTTGAGGGTTTGGTTTCCTTGGTGGAAGGCTCGGCAGGTCATGAAGGTAGCTGATACCAATCATAATGGTCAAATAGAAGGTGCAGAAGAAATCGAGAAGCTTGTGAACTATGCTCAACAACATTTGCACATGAAAATTCATCGAAGCCATGGTAGGTGGTGAAGGTGTGTATTTGTCTCTTTGTGCTTGTGCAAGTAATGATTAATAATTCGTGATTCTCCCATGGAATGGTCAGTTTTTTCCTTCTGTTCTTGACACCATTTGTCTTTGATGTATGTATGCTAGTCCTTCACGAGGTGACAACTTAGTCTGTCAATGGGGGGTTTAAAACGGCATGTTATTCACAACCAGAGGACTAGGAACATTTGCAAAGTTTCTCTCCTCGATGGATTAATGATGGCATGCCGATCTGTGCTAGTTCACCATGTTTGAACTTTGTTCTTGAACAACATTTGCGTGGAATAATTATTTCTTTTGATGCCCATTATAAAATTAGAAAAAAATCCAGTTTCGATGTCATGTAATTTAACGTTTTCATGAACTCTTCGGAGAAATCAATTTTACCACGTAATTGCTCTTAGTAGAGATAGCATTGTCTCTGAGATTCTTGTGATCAGGTTCGGCTTCTCAATACCAGGTCCAGCCTTTTGATATCCTCAGGCATAACCATCATAAGCCCAAATTGGTAAATCATCTGAACCTTCGAATCCCTATCTATGCCACCTCACCTTTCCCAGAAAGCACGCATAAAAGAATGGAAGGAATAGGATGTTTTTTTCGAGAGAGAGAGAGACGTAGAAGGTTACGGATCATTAACGAAACAATTAAAAACTAAAACCGAAAGGTGTGGTGTTTTTCTTATATATCAAGTATTTGTAATCCCTTTTACAATTTATTATTGATTGTAATAGTATTTTTTTTATTCATCAAACATTTTTTTCCTCCTCGATTGGATTTATTATGGCCAAAATAATAGCCAATTACTTTTTTATTTATTAAGAAATAACAAGATTAAAAAAATATAATCAAAATAGAAAAGGTTGGGTAAATAGTATTTTAATCCCTCATTTGAAAGATAAAAAAAAAATCATTGAATTATGATAAAAAAAAATAGTTGGTTCTTGACCATAAAAAAATTAATTTTGATATCAATACATGACAAGAGGTTCTTCACTAAAAAAAATTTCCCTTTTATCTTATAGAGAAAAAATTTTATTCAAGTTTACTTTTAGTTTTTGAACCAAATTTTTTCTGATTTGGACTTATTGTTGAGAACCCTTTAATCACAGACAAATCAAGGCTTTGTAACTCTATATCTTTTCTACGCTTTTATTGAATGAGCTTGGCTATATATATATAGCCTTACAGTAGTAACAAGAAATGGAATGAATAATACCACATGTATATTTGTTGGCATTACAGTTGCTAACAGTAAACGGTTTCCTAACAAAAACAGTTAAGGAACGGTTATTGATCTTTTACAATTATGCATTCTACCTGTCAATCCTTCCCCTAAACTAACTGTGATATATAGTTAGTTCAGCTTAGTAGCTGTACACATTCTCATCTGACTTCTGAACTTCTGGAAAGATTCCAACTTTAATGGTTTTGTCATTACATCTGCAGTTTGTTCTTCTGATCCACAATGCAACAGTTCAATGATTCCATCGTTAGCAAGTTCTCTCAAGAAATGAAAACGGACATCAATATGCTTGCTTCTCCCATACATGATAGGGTTCTTTGACAGTTTAATAGTGGAGGTATTGTCACACATAACTATTGTGCTTTTCTTCTAAACATGTCCTAATTGATGCAAAACTCTCCTCATCCACACCACTTGACTTGCACACCCTGCAGCTACCACAAACTCTGCCTCTGTGGTTGACAATGTAACATTTGGTTGTTTCTTTGATAACCAAGACACTGCCCCTGAACTTAACAAGAAGACGTAACCTTAAGTGCTATTTCGGTCATTTAAGTCACTAGCATAGTCACTATCGGTGTAAGCAATCAGGTCATTTGAGCTCCTCTTCTTGTATATAATTCTATAATCAAAAGTTCCTTTTAGGTACCTTAATATCCTCTTAGCAGCTTATAGGTGCAATTATGTAGGTCTGGCCATATATCTGCTAATCAAACTTACACTATAAACTAAGTCTGGACAAGTTGAAGTGAGATACATGAGGCTCCCTATGATTTGTTTGTAGAACGATTCATCAACTGCAACTTCATCTACATCTTTGCTTAACTTAGAACCTAGAGCAATCGGGCTATTGACTTCATGACTTTTTATCATTCCAAATCGCTTCAAAATCTCTAGAGCATATTTTCTTTAGCATATGAAGATACCATCACTTTGTTGTGATACTTCAATGCCAAGAAAGAACTTCACTTTTCCCAAATCAGTCATCTTAAACACTTGCATTATTGAGCACTTGAAACTACTTATCATCTCTTAATCATCACCAGTGTATATTAGATCATCGATATAAACACTTGTAATAAGCATTTTCCCTTCTTTGCTCTGTTTGGTAAAGAGTGTCTACTCATTTGGACATTTTTCAGAACCCTCATTTTTAAAGTAATTCTCCATGCGGCTAAACCAATCTCATGGAGCTTGTTTTAGGCCATATAATGCCTTATGTAGCTTGTAGATTTTGTCCTCACTTCCCTTGACTTTATAGTCCTTTGGTTGTTCAACATACACATCTTTATTAAGTTCATCATAGAGAAAGGCTGACTTCACATCCATCTGGAAAACATTCCAATTTTTTTGAGCCACCGGAGCATACACTTTTATGCAATCTATTCAATGTTTTTGTGTGTACCCTTTAGCCACCAAACATGTTTTGTGCTTCTCAAACTCTCCATGCTTATTATACTTGGTTTTATAAATCCATTTCACTCCAATTTTCTTGACTTCAACAAGTAACGCGACTAATGTCCATGTCTTGTTCTTCTCTATGGGCTTGATTTCATAGTCCATAGCCAATCTCCAGTTTGCATTTGTCACTGCTTCATAATGCAATGGATCACTTGACATTATCAGAGCCAAATCTTCATCTTCAGAAGAACCAAGGCTCTCCCTAGTAACATAATCCTTCATCCATGCAAGAGGTTTTCTCATTCTTGTACCTCCTTCATTATCCTTATTGTCTCTATTATTAGTGTATACATCTCCCTTATTATCCTCACTCTCTCTCTGTTCTGTGCATGCATTTCCTTCTTTATCCTTAGTACAGTTATTGTCATTTACACCATCTACTCCTTCTCCATCGCTATCTCCCCATTCTAAATCCATTAACATCTGTTTTTCAAAAGTCTCATCCCATTCCCATTGTTTCTCCTCTTTAAATATCACATCTCTACTTACTACTATCTTTTTTGTAATCAGGTTGAATAGCCTATATCCCTTGGATTCCTCACTAACACCCCAGAAATATACATTTAACACTTCTATTATCAAGTTTATTTTTTTGTACCTCTAGTACATGAACATGTGTTATGCACCCGAAGACATGAAAATGAGCAACAAAGGGCTTGATTCCATTCCACGCCTCTATTGATGTGATATTTTTTACCATCAAGGTTGGACATCTATTCAGCACATAGTTGCTCCAGTTCACTACCTCTGCCCAAAGTGTTCTTGCTACTTTCTTCTCATATAGCATTGCACGAACCATGTTCATTACTGTTCTATTCTTGCATTTAGCTACACCGTTTTGTTGAAGGGTGTAAGTAGTCGTTAGTTGTCGCTTAATGCCATTTTGCTTATAGAATTTGTTGAACTCAAGTGAGGTGAATTCAACTCCTCTATCTGTTCGGAGACACTTGATAGGTAAGCCTGTCTCATTCTCCACCATCTTCTTAAAACACTTGAAATGACTTAGTGCTTCTGATTTTTCCAGCAGGAAATATATCCATAACTTTCTACTGTAGTCATCTATAAAACACAGTGTGTATTTTTTGTTACCACAAGACATGGGGGTAATTGGTCCGCAAATGTCTACATGAATGAGACTCAATATTTGACTTGCTCTCCAAGAACTCTTCTTTGGTATAGAATCACAGTGATGCTTCCCCATGATGCAGTCTGTGCATAATTCATCTGAGACAGTAAATGTGGGAAGACCACATACCATTTTCTTGCTCTGCAGGGTCCTTAAGCCTTTATAGCTTAGATGTTCATATCTGTGATGCCAAAGTTGTGACAGATTCTGCTATTTTTATGAGATTGTGTGGAAGCACTCATCGTATTGTTGCTAGGATGTCTCTTGTGATTGATTTAACAGAATGAACATTCTGTTGGCACTCATATTTATCTTAGTGATCAAGCCTTTGTGAGGATGGTAGATCTTGTATACCCTTCCTTGAATTAGAATGGCCAGACCCTTCTCTTGAAACTGTCCTACACTTAAGAGATTATTCATGAGTTCTGGGACATAGTATACTTCAGTCACAATAAGAATGATTTCATTCAAATGCAGCTTCACACTTCCTTTGCCCATCACATTCATTCCGGTGTTGTTTCCTAGCCTTACCAGTTGCTGAAAACTATTATCAAGCCAACTGAACATGGTTTTATCTCCACAAATGCGATTTGAGCATCCTGAATCAAGGAACCATGCATCTTTTCCTTTAGCTTTGTTTTCTTCTACATAGGACATTAGTAACATCTCCTCTTCCTCATCAATATCCTTGGCATAGTTAGCTTCTTTGTTTTAAGAAGGGCACTCATACTGGAAATGGCCTAGTCTATGACACTGATAGCATTCAACTGTAGCTTTGTTGAAGCTGTTGCTATCGTTGCCCCTTCCTTTTCCTCTACCCTTATAAGCAGTTCTACCTCGTCCTCTACCTTTTATTGGCCAATGTTATGACTTTAGAAAAGTATTCTGTCACTCTTTCATTGAATTTCATATCTAAGGTTTCAAATTTTCATCGTAGTCCTTGAAGATGAGACTTCTTGACTCTTACATTTCCTTCAAATCTTTTCTTTATGGCATCCCAAATATCTTTGGCAGTATCCTTCTTTAAAATCATGTCAAGAACTATGCAATCTAAGGCTTAGAAGAGATAATTCTTCACTTTGAGATCCTTCAGTCTCAACTCATCCATCTTCTTCTTTTATGCATTCGTTTGCATAATTCCACTTGCTGGCTCATCATAACCAATCTCTACAAGTTCCTAGAATTCTTTTGAAAGCAGGAAATTTTCCATAAGCATGCTCTAATGATCATAGTGACCATCAAACCAAGGAATGGAAGGCTGCATAAAATTTCCTTCGCTAGACATCTCTCTTGCACTCTGTGTTTAGGATGGTTCAAAGCTGCGGCTCTGATATCAATTATTGAGAACTCTTTAATCACAGACAAATCAAGGCTTTGTAACTCTATATCTTTTCTATGCTTTTATTAAATAAGCTTGGCTATATATATATATAGCCTTATAGTAGTAACAAGAAACGGGATAAATAATACCACATGCATATCTGTTAGCATTACAGTTGCTAATAATAAACAGTTTCCTAACAGAAACAGTTAAAGAACGATTATTGATCTCCTACAATTATGCATTCCACCTATCACTTATAACTAGGTTTATTTATATTTTTAAGATTTGTTTTTGGTGATTTCATTAATTTTTGACCTAAGACCGAGCTGGTCCATTATACCTAATTTCTTAGACTTTTTTTCGAAGGATTTTTTTATCGCTTAGCTTAAAGAATTTTTTTTTGTTTATTTGTTTTTCTATAGAGTTATTTAACTCTAAGTTTTTTCATTATTTTTTTAAAATTGACTTTTTTTTAATTTCTTCTCTCAGCAATGAATTGGTTGAGAGACAACCTTTATATTTTATTTTTATTTTTTTACGAGGTAATTATATTTTTATGATTTATATTACGAGTTTGACAAATTTACTCAAGTTATTTTTCATAACTTCTTTTTAAAATTATATCTATTTTTTTATTTTTATACTTTCATATTAGATTGATTAGAATTATACTTTCTAATTTGTTTTAATTTTTTTATAATATTATCATATTTTTATGACTCATGTTGTAAATTTTATAAGTTTATTAGAATTTATCCTAGTTAATCTAATATGTCATTATTTTAATATTTAAAAATTAAATCATTAAATATATATATTACATTTTGAATTTATGATTTTTTTATCTAAACAAACACGTTAAGAATATCATTAGATTTCTTTACTATTAGACCAAGTGACTCGTTCATCAACGATATACCAAGGGCAAGGGAATGGATGAATAGAATTTGCCTCGCCATCAGACAGGAGAATAAAGCAATGTCCACACGTACACTTCCGTACGCTATACAAGGTTAGATATATTCGTGAAACACTCTAGTAAATTAATAAAACAATTTTTATTTTAAGTAAACCGTTTACTCCTATAATTTATTTTTTCTCAAATCCAACATTTGGAAATCCGAAAAAGAAAAAAAAAATTCAAATGTACGAACGAGCTTCGAAATTAGGTTGGTCCTCAATAAAAACCATAGGCTTTGATTGCTCCTATGATTCTTTCTTAATATCCGATTTTGAATCCCTATACTTTACATTATTTTGTGATTTAGTCCTTTCACTAATTGCTTGTTTCCTAAAACACCCTTTAGTTCTACTAAAAATTTCCAACATCAACCGCTACAAGCAACACCAAAAAAGCATTTAAAAGGGGCAGCTCGGAATCTGAGAAAGATCTGATGGTCAGCTGTCCTTAAGCGACCGAAAAATAATCTCCGAAACCAGAAGTCCCAACCTACAAGGGCATTAGAAAGAGAGGCACCTAGCTATAAACTACTCGTGGTCTGATTTAAGAGGTTTGACTGGTCTTCACTCAAGGCATCGGTCCGTGGGGATCCCGACACGTGGCAGATCCGGATTCGTTGGAGGGATTGTAAAGGGTTTTAACCATGTGAGTGACAACCATGTCCTTTGGGTACAAGTTAAATTAAAGAGACTACAATATTGAAGTCCAGGCCTTCTTTTTATTCTTCCTGGCCTGGCCAGGCCTGCGCTGCACATGTTACTAAGACCTATCCCAGTGCCCAGTGGTACAAAATGTCTCAGTGTACTTGCTGTCTTATTATCTTTATCTGTCTTCACGATGCCACTCCCCTACTTGGAGACCTCTCCTTTCCATTTCTATGGCATCTCTTGAGAGCCGGCTCTATCGTATTTCTTAAGAAAATTTAGTTCTTTTTTTATTAAAAAAAAATCAAATCCCTGAGTAGTTGATCGCCAAATTTGTTTAATTTAATCAGATCCCATATAAGAGGCGAAATCCCCAAATCCAAGAGTTGAATTTGTTGATTCCAGGCTTTGCCAACTATTTTTTTTCTATTTAATTATTAGATACTCAAAATATCTCTGCCTTTCATGTTGCCACTACATTTTCAGGACAAGTACTACTGGTCCTCTGGACGACTCTGCTTGTTGTTTAATTTTTATTTTTTTAATACATAGAAAAAAGAAATTCAAGAGCGAACAGACTAGCCCAGAGGCCCAAGAGTACTTGTCCAGAAGCAAAGGCAACTGACCGTATCCTTTCTTGCCTGTGGTTGCATGTGTAATGTGCCCCATTATTTCACAGAAGTTGCAAGAACTAGCAAGCAACAGAAGAGGCTAGGTCTGGTAACTACATTAATGTCTATAAATATCAGCTCAAGTTTGGTGGAGGTGAAGAACTTTACTCGTGATCCATCGGTCATATATCAACTTCAATATCCATAAATTAAATATTCAATAAAATAATATATCAGAATTATTTCTTCAACATAGTATTAAATGATATGAAAATATCTGATGTAACATAATGTAAATCCTTAATGCCGTGAATTGCAAAACAGGTTCAAAGTATCATGGATCGATAAAACAAATTAAACAAAGTGATTGAGAGATGGGATTAGGGTTCAGGATAGTTAAATTAAACCTGGACGGGTGTAATTAACTAAACAAAGATAATCACTAGCTGGATTATATGCTTCATGGCTGCCACTTAGGGAGTTCCTAATTACCAATAATTAATTAGACCCCCAGTAGCTAGTTGTGTAGTATTTGATTTACGAGATTTTCATATTGTTTCTAGACCAATTTTTTTTGAAGCAAATGGCTAAAGGGAGCTGATGATCACGTGGTCTCTTGACGGGTCGGTATCGATGGCCAGCTCATTCACTGCCTATTTACTTACAAGTCAAAGCTGGTCAAATTATCCAATGCATGCCACCCCAGCCCTTCTGGACTGCTCTATCACTGTGCGCCACTATTTCCATGCCTCTCTAACTTAGCTAAAACCAACTAGATAGAGCATTTACGCCCTTATCTCTTAAACAAAGAAAACTGTAGCACTGTCTGCCAGCAATGGATACCAGCCATCTCCCTAAATCTGGCTACATGATAGCTTATTTTATCACAGCCCTCCATCATCCGTATCATTTACTCACTGTCCAGGCCATAAATGATTCTTATCTTTGCCTGTCTCCACATGCATGCATGCTCTTCTTTTGAAATTGTGCATGTATACAAGATTTTTGATGAGCTAGAAAAACGTGCCATCATGCATTGATGGCAAGAACATTGCTAAGTTGGTAAGAAAATAGATAAAAAGAAAATCATTTCAATAAGATTTAAATCGGTAATCCTGTTTCCCCGCTCTCACCTCTTAATTAGCGTTATTATTATTATTATTATTATTATTGGTGATTAGAGTTAATGATGCACTTGTTAACGTTCAAACAAATTAATTATTAATCCTACATAAATGAGTGCTTTCGCCATTACCAGTAGCTTGAGAATATTGTGAGACATGTAACCCACCAATGATCATCACTTAATTGTTAACGTAATTCCCAAATTACTTCTAGTTGTTGGTTTGTCATCTTTCACGAATAGGATCTTCCTGGATTTCTATTTTGGCCACGTTGATAAAGAAAATGCGGGCTTAAATTTTAAAATCTTTCTTACAAATCTTCGTCAAAAAGAACACCTATCTATAAATCTCATTCTCAATTCAAAGAAACTTCGAGAGAAGTAATATTCAAACATTAATTTTTTTTTAAAAAAAAAACATGCATTAAAGCCTACTGGTTGGCTCCTCCTATGAAGAGACTGCGTACTATTTTATTCACTGGCCAGTTTATTGTCTTCGAAAATGGTAGATGAGAAGTGTTTCTTGGTAGCTTCACCCACACGGGCCACATTCGAGGAAAACAGTAAAAAATACGAGATTGTATATAGAGCTTCGAAACTGGTCATCATTGAATACCAATTAACATGTCATGACAAAAAAAAAATCACATCATGGATTCATGGTCATGCCATGCATGAATTCAAAAGTAAAAAAACATATTACATGTTCTAGCCTTCTAGCTGGCCACCTCCCTCTCCCTGACTCCCTCCCTCCTTAGATATAAATACAAACACTACTGGGTGGGTTGTAACAGTGTGTGAGGGTCCCCTATAGAATTTATTAGGGCTAAATATTTTTCTTTCTCATTTTCCATGTTGTTTTGAAATCCCATGGCATGTTTAGACATGTACAACTCCGAGCACAAAGGTTATTGCCCTCCCATGAGCCCTAGAATCTCCTTTTCTAATGATTTTGTTGATTCCCAACAGATTATGAAGCAAGAAAGGAGCTCAAGAGAGACCCCAGTGTCCACTGACTTTGAATTCTCAGTGACAAACTACTCCATGATGAGTGCTGATGAGCTTTTCTTCAAAGGCAGGCTCTTGCCATTCAAAAATAATGGCAGCAACCAATTGCAAAGGACTATTAGAGATGAACTTCTTGTTGACGATGATGAGGATGATGAAGTTTCACCGAGGCCACCTAAAGGTTCTACAAGGTGGAAAGGGCTCCTGGGCCTAAAGAGAAGCCACATTGGTTCCAAGAAAGTTGATAAGAGTGAAGGGTCTATGGAGAGATCAGTTGGTGAAAGTAGAAGGTCCGGTTTTGTCCATGAGGAAGTGCACCATAGCAAGAGTTCACAGGTTAGAATAAACATATATATATATATATATATAAAGGAAACTAGCTTGCAATTACCCATTTTCATTTTTCATTTCAAAATTCTGAAAAAAAGAATTTTGTTTAGGGTTTATCCTGATTTAACTTTGTGTTATAACTGCAGGAGATTGTGAGTGAAGGAGGATCAAGTTGCAGAGATGTGGAGATTGGAATATAGTGAGTGATCTGTACTTTGTTTAGAGTGGAATGACTTTAATTTTTTGGAAGAGGAAGATGATGGTGATTTTCTTCTATTTTTAGCAGGAGGTTTGGAAAAACTTTTAGAGATCTTAATTTGTGTTAGTTTGGTCGGTTATCAAACTTTGATTGACCTTAATTTCTCCTCCTTTTTTTTTTTGAGCTCTGCTGTCCTTATCATCTCCTACAAGTTGGTGTTTTGGCTGTTTTCTTGTACAAAGTGTTTGCAGTTGAAATATTGCAAGAATTCCTCTTGTCCTCGTCTTCACCACTGCATCTCATCGATAGATCCGTCTGGATTCACAAAAATATATAAACACCGAGAATATTTACTATCTCGTTATTTTTCTTGGGTTTTTCTAACTTCTGCATTGAAGAAAAAAGAAGAAGAAGCATTCATTTTAATTTTTATAATTAGTGGAAATTAAAATTCTACCGTTTCTTTAGAATTCATGTCAATGATGGAGTTCAAACTTTCTTTTTCATTCTTGATATACTATGGAAATGGAGTTCGGCACATGGAACCCAACTTTCTAATAAATTCCATATATCAAAAAACAATATTTCTATTTCATCATGTTCTATCCTAATTTGTCTTCACTTGACTCCTTGTCCATACAAAAGAGACTTCAGAAGATTTATTATATATTTCGTACTTTTCTTCTCTCTTAGGATCTCGTTAAATCTCAATGTAGGTTTTTTTTGGTTATAAATCGGGGCTAAAGCCCAAAATTAAATTAAACGAGGGAATACCATTCCATTCAAGTCATAGTATAAAAACTAATGCAAGCCCTCTAAAGGGGCATTAATAATTGAATCCTTTATAAAAAGTGGATGCTTGGAAAGCCAAAAGTTAGGAAGCTAATCAACAACAGCATTGGCCTCTCTATACAAATGTTACGCTTGAGCTACCTAATCTCTACTTAGAGCTTCACAAGCTCTGTTACTCAAATCAAAGTTAGTTTCATCTTTTATGAACTGTTTCAAGGGTAAATCCACCACAACCAAAAAATCAGATTCCAAAATAATAAAGTCTAAAAACCAAGCTAACTCTAATCCTATAATCATTGTCCATAACTCAGCACAAACTTAATCCTATAATCATCGTCCATAACTCAGCACAAACTAAAGTATAAATCCCCATATTAATTGCAAAACCTCTAATCCTATAGCCGATGCAATTCTTAATTAATCCTTCCACCACTACTAAACCTAAGTTGTCTTTACTACATCCATCTACATTTAATTTCATCCAATCCCGAGGGGGAGTATTTCCATCCCACAACATTATTTCCATCCCACAACATTCATCTTCTTAAGAGTCAAAGTATTAAGCTCCTCATGGAGTTCAACTCCCATTATATCTTTAGTTAAACCCTAAATAGCCATTAAATGATGGCCTGTCACTTCTGGGATCTCCCTAAAATTGCGATAATTCTTGTACTTCCAAAGAAACTACAAAGTAACATCAAACAAGATTGAGCAACACCAACCTTCTTTAATGTTAACTATTCTTCACAAGTTAGACAACAACCATACATGTAAATTTGTAGCAAAAAAACCATCAGTATCACGTGGATTCAAGATTTTCAGCCACACTTTCCAAGCCCATTTACAGTCCCTTAACACATGCAAAATGGTCTTAATATCACCACTACCACAATGACAATTAGGAGAACCACTCATATATTTTTTATACCTAATCTCATTGGTCATAGCTCTGTTATGGACAACAAGCCAATGGAAAAATCTAATTCTTTCAGGACCTCTCCATCTCCAAATAAAATGCCATAAAGGCTTTGAATGGGTCTGATTATAACAAGAGTTGATAAGAGAAAAATAAGCTGATTTAATAATTAACTCACCATTCATGGAAAGGCTCCAAGAGAGCTGGTCCTCATTCGGCTCCCTATTTGGAGGGGGATAGCTAGCTAGAGTCATCACAATATTCATTGGTAAAAGGTGTGCAAAAACATCCCATCTCCACTTATTATTGTTGGAAACCATTCCTGCCACCGACTTGTTAAGCAATTCCTCATATAAATCTTGAGTCATATATCTAACAAGAGAACCAAAGCCATCTAACCATTCATCCTCCTAGAACTTGATGTTTTCTCCATTGCTAATAGCTCAAGAAATGCCTTTAATCACATGAGACCATTCCTTGCAGATCGCTTTCCAAAGAGGAGAATGTTTCTGCTTAGCTTGTACTTTAGGAATGTTATCACTAGATCTCACATACTTACTTCTAAGAACTGAAGCCCATATAATAGTATTATCGTTAATGATACCCCAACCTAACTTCATTATGAAAGCTCGGTTCATAGAATGCATTCTTCTCAGCCCTAGACCTCTCTCATCTCTTGGTTGGCAAAGAGTTTTTCAGTTAATAAGATGAGTTTTTCTAGCCTCAATGTTGCCCCCCAAATAAATCCTCAGTAGATTTTTTCAATTTCAAAGCAAAGTGATGTAGGTAATAAGCTGGATTGCATGGAATATAAGGGAACAATAACCAGAATTGACTTACACAAAGTGATTCTACCAACAAAAGATAATTGTTTAGAATTCTACGTCATTAATTTTTTATGCAAACTCTCTATAATTTAACCATATGTTTGCTTGGTAATGCTTTGATGAAGAAGAGGGACCTCCAAATATTTGCCCAAGTCTTGCGTAATAACAAAGCCACTCTTGTAACTAAGTGATCTAACAGTAGAATAAGAATCACCTTTAGAGAAAAACATCTTAGTCTTTTCAACACTTACCCGCTGACTAGAGGCAGAACAAACAGATTAAGACATTCCATAATTTTATCCAATTGTCGCTCACTTCCTTCTGTAAACAGAAGCATATCATCTGCAAAGCATAAATGAAAAATTTTTGGACCTTCTCTACCAATTTGAAATGGTTTCCAATTACCCATGCTAATTTTTCTATGAATTAATTGAGACAAGTGCTCCATACACAACATAAAAATATAAGGAGATAAAAGGTCCTCTTAACAGATTCCTCTGGTATGGAGGAATTTTTCAGGACTCCCATTCCACAAGACGTTTATCATAATGAGATCCACTGTGCTTCTTGGAATTCCTGTTAATATAAAAGTGTCTCTAATAAAATCCTAATGGAGCCTATCATAAGCCTTTTCCAAATCTACTTTAAGAGTCATCGCCCTCTTTTTTCTTTTTAAATTACGTATAGAGTGGATAATTTCCTATGTTATAAGATATTATCAACAATTTACCTACTAAGAATAAAGCTACTTTGGTTCATAGAAATAAGCTTATGCATAAGTGGCTTTAACCTGTTAACCAAAACTTTTGTGAGGGTTTTGTAAATTACATTACATAACCCTATTGGCCTGAACTGGTGGATATATTCAGGTTTTAGAACTTTGGGAATGAGCACCAAGTATGAATGATTTACCTTCATAACCTCCTGTTTGTTATCAAAAACTTCCCTAATGAACCTACATAGATCACCCCCACAACACTCCACTAGGTCTAGAAGAAATAAGGTTGGAAACCATTAGGGTTATGAGCTTTAATTAAAAGGTTTCATATTAAAGACAACCTTGTAAATCTCCTCATCCAAAGCCTTTTCAAGAAGACCAATGATTAGTACTTAAAAGTGTATTTTTATCAAGGTTTTATATCATCATTTTGCACTTGAAGTATTAATAACTCCTTGACTATAACATATTTTATAATAACATATCTAATAATATAAGATACTTTTAATTTATAGTAAATATTCATTTTAAATGCAGGCATATATCATAATTAAAAGGATTGATTGATGTGATTAACTATTGAAAGTAAAAGGATAAAGAAAAGGCTAAGCTTAGAAAAAGATGTTGATTCAATTCAAATTGAAACACTATTCAGTCTTTGGGTCATATCTGAAGCTGTAGATCTTGGATTTTAGTTTGGTTTATATGGCTAAAAGGCTAAGACATGGGCCTAAAATATTCATAAGAACCTAAAACTCAATTATGTTGTTTGGAAGTCTAAATTTTAGCATAAAAAAAAAATTGAATCTATCCTACAGCCTAGACATTGTTCAGTGTTCAACTTATATCTCGAGTTCTAAAGTCCAAATGCACCGATTCTTTTTTTTTAAAAAAAAAAAAAGCTAAGATAATTTTCTAAAACTTTTATGCAGACTATTTTTTCAAATTATAATGTTAGTAATGATGTTTTTTTCAGACAAGAAAATAAGGATTGTCTTAAAGTCAAGATGTGGCCACCTACTCAACAATTAGTCAACAAATCAATAGTTTCAAATTTTGGCATATAAAAAGACGTATTTTCCATGCATTTAAGCATCTTGGTGTTTAGATCAAGATCATGCTCATTTTTATAATGTTTAAGTTTTATTTCATGCTATATTTTTTTTAATCTCTTATTTATGCTTTTCATTTCCTTTACTATACTTATGTTCTTATTTTGTTTATTTGTGTTTTTCTTCTTCATTATGTTTAGCTAAGTTTATTATGTCAAGGTGAAAATGTTTCACTAATGGTGTTAAGATAAATATAATATAAACTCAATATGGACTTCAATACTTATATCCTAAACAATTTGCTATTAACATGTCTTATTATTTTTATCTTATTAATTCTTAATACCTTGCTTGTTAAATGGTTAATCTAGATTTGTGTTGTATAACACTTAGTACAACAAATACTTGGTAATTTCATAGCCAACTATATATTATAACCTACACTTGTGCTATAAAAGGAGCTTAATTTGTTGTTAACATAAGTTAGTATCATGAATTTCTAACAATATTTAAAAGTTTGGTGTTACTTAAATAAGATAATTAATATGATCATATTAACAATTTATAATGAGCTATTAATGATAAATCATCCGATTGGAACTTTCTTTGTGTATGGTTTCCATTTGAGTAAAAAAAAGAGTTTTTATTACATTTATTTTTAATATCATTAGTGGATCCACTAACATTGACATTTGTTTTTATTGTTTTTTAATCCTCACATTAATCTTACATCTCAAAGTCCTCTTTAACTTATTATTATTATTATTATTATTATTATTATTATTATTAT